TAAGGGAATATTGCCAGCCAGTTCTGATTATCATTGTTCATACTTTTTATATAACCCAACTGTGCAGCATTTAAAGTGATTGAAACCTTGATGAAGGCAGACAGTGAAAAGAAGGCAACCGATATCGTTTCTCTTCATCTAAAGATGATAGGACAGCAGGAGATGGAGAAGTAAAAGACTAAAGCTGTGCAATCTGGGACAAGAGAGGAATGTCAGGGAAATGCCACAGGACTCTTTTATCCCAGATGTGTACTATTAGGCCCACAGGCTCAATCCCAGAACCCTACCCTCCTGGATCAGCTTTCTTCCTTCAGGGCATCAGCATGACAGTGGTAATGAGGATTACTCTGAATGACAAGCCTTACATTGCTGAAAAGTAGGAACACTCAGAGCCGCAGGCCTTTGAAAAAGAGATATCTGCACTTTTAAACAAGCTGCTGTCCCATCCTCTGCACTGTGTCACAGTTTCCTGTTCAACAACAACTTGGTTTGATGGGAAAGCCAACAAGCTGTGCCAAATCAAATTTTAATCAGTCTGAGGTTTTATTATTAATCAAACCCAGAGCCAAGTTCTGTCACTGCAATATTTCTTTTTCTGTGGAAGACACTGAGGACGCTTTCTGTTATTTTTCTCCTCTTTTACCCTTTAAACTGGTTCTGACAGGATTTACACAACAAAATATTTACACTTAGAGCCCCAAACGCAGCCGGTAATGATTGAGAACCAGCATGTAGGCGTCAGACCTGAAACAGCTCCCTGGGTTCCCTGGGTTTCGGTCTTAATCAAGTAGATAGGGTAGTCAAGTGCAAAATAAGCGTGGTTTTAGTGTTTCATGCGGTTCTTCAAGGGAACAAGGGAATCCCTTATGCTCCTTGCATGTTTAAAGGATGTTCTTCTATCATGGGACCACAAATGAGAACAATCTGGACAAATGGTGGTTCTGGATGACGTCCAGGAAAGGAATGCAGCGGTTGAGAAGAAGCGTAATCCTGTTAGACTGAATGTAGACAGATGGAAGCAAAGTGCGTGGTTACTCTGTAGGAGAGTATTAGCAATATCACACGCTGAATGTAAAGTACTATGCAGCAGGTCCAAGAAAGTGGAGAGTCAAAGTACCCCACACTGGAGAAAAACAAAATATAGATCAATCTAGATCTAAATCTAGCCATTTTTTCTTAAAATAGCTGCATTTGTTCTTGAATTAAGGAGATAATAGAGACATTTTGCCAACAGAACAAGACAATTTAGATTTAATATAACAAAACATAATTGCATTATCTTATTTCAAGTGCATGTTATCAAATTATCTTATTTTAAGAGTAAAAATACTAATTCCATTGGCAAATCATTGTTAAATTAAGGGTAAATACACTTAATTTAAGTAATTTTTACTCATTTTTACATTGTTTTTGCAATGCATTTAAAAAAAGAAAATGTAATTGCATTGTCTTATTTCAAGTGCATATTATCTAAATATCTTATTTTAAGAGAAAAAATACTCATTCCATTGGCAAATCATCTTATTTACCTACTCAAATTAAGAGTAAATAGACTTAATTTAAGACATTTTTACTTATTGCTAGATCCTTTTTCCAGCGCACACTTCATCATTCTTCACCTCACTAGACATGGATATACTTTTGTATTTTCTGCTGTAAAATGAATCTTATATTTTAATTTTTTTTATTCCAGGATTCAACCTCTGCCATTTCACAGGATGCACAGCTTTAAGTGGTAGTTGACTGTCAGCTTTTAGATTATTTATACTTATTTTTATTTTCAGAATAACCATTCAGCGTGCTCTCTGTCAATCAGTCGCCGCACTGGAAAAAGTCGAAATCTAGATAAGTCATTTTTTTCTTAAAATAAGTGATTTTTTTGTTAATTTGAGCTGGAAAAAGAGACATTTTGCCAATGGAACGAGACAATTTTCATTTAAAATAAGAAAACGCAATTGCATTTTCTTATTTCCATTGCATATTATCTGATTATCTTATTTTAAGTGTAAAAATACTTTCATTGGCAAACTATCTCATTTGCCTACTCAAATTAAGGGTAAAAACACTTAATTTAAGAATTTTTTACTTATTTCTAGATGGTTTTTCCAGTGTGTAAATGTCGACTTTACCTCCTCATCCAAGAACAAATGCAGTTATTTCAAGAAAAAAATACTTATCTAGATTTAGATTTTTTCCAGTGTATGGGGCACGGTGAGGGTTGATGGACTTCGGTGTGGGGGCAGTGGGGGGATTTGCGGGGGCGGTGTTCGGAGGGTTCGATAAGCATCTCCCTGAAAGAAGTTTTTGGAACTAGGGATGTCTGATATAAGTAAATTTTTTCTTTTCTTCTTAAAGTAAGTGTATTTTCCCTTTTTGAACTGGTAAGACACTTTACCAACAGAATAAGATAATCTACGTCTAGAAAAAGCACAAAAAAGACAGATTATTTCAAGTGCAAAATTTAGAGTTATATTATTTTAAGGGCAAAAATCCAGCTAAATTAGTTTTTACTTCTTTTTTAAAGCTACAGTGTGTAATAATGACAGGGATATACAGTCAGAAATGTAATATATTATATATAACTATGTTATTTTTCATCATCTACGAGCTCAACCTCTTAACCTTAATATTTGCGTTGCCTCAGAATTCGTTATTTATAATTACATTGGAGCGGGTCTCGCAGCCATGGAGGCAGACTTATTTGCGCTACGGCAGCGCAGAGCCAAGAAACTAGCGATTGCGAGATCGCCCATTACGCTCGAAAGTAACTACGGCAAGTTGAGAGAGATGAACTGAGACGGTACTGAACAATAGATGGCAGTATTAAAATTATCTATGTAAACAAACCTCATCACTTGAGAAGGTAGGTGATGCGGATGTCGTGGAAGACATTTTGTCCCGTAACGCTCACCGTACTGTTGGGGGGGAGAAGCGGTGGGGGGTAAGATGTTCATGTTGCTGCGGTCTACAGTCTGGACGTTAGATGTCGCTGAAAATTACACACTGTAGCTTTAAATTGTTTTTGCAGTTTAGACCCTCATAACTACAATTATTTTAGAGATAAATCAGTGCAAAAATATTAACATTCCTTGAAGATTTTCATGACATTAAGGTCATCAATAAGTTCATTAAGTTTCATTGTAATTTTATTTGATTGATTAAAAATGATAAATCTGAAGGGGAAGTAAAAAAGAACTTTGAGCTTTAAAGTGTTTTAAACAGGACTGTTTGGTGTCAGTTTCTATTCAGCTCTGCAGGCAGTAAGTTTACTTTACAGCATGGGTGTGCCAATGGGGGAAAAGGGGGCATGAGTGCCAACGGCCCAAGTAGAGAGAGTGGCCCCATTCTATGATAGTTTAATTCTGAATGAATGGGGCAATCAAATTAATTGGGGTTATAAATTATTTCAAATATATTGATATATAAATGAACAAACTAACTCTTTTATTCTTAGGAAGTAATTTGTTACCAAACTGCTGTTTCCTGGAGAAAATCTGTTATGAGGAGAAGTTAGTTTGAAAAGGTTTTTTTATTAGTTTTATAACACTGGCTTTAAAAACATGAAGGTTATTGGATTTTTTCCCCGCTACTTTTTATTATCTTTATATTTGCGTGTGATGTTCACAATGCCGCAGTAATAAAGACCAGCTGGATCCGACCTTTTTATAGGGAGGAAGCTGCCGTCCCGTCATGTGTTTGCGTGGCTGGACTACATTTCTTTGCTACTAAAGTTACCAAACTTTATAACTTGGGTTTTATAACACCAGATGACCAAGAAGGCTCTTTTAAAGGTTAGACGGTCTTTGTAAATCAGGTCACAATAAAAAACTGTGATATGTAAAAGTGTGTTTCCACTGATGCAAAGAGATGATTTGTATAATCTTCACTGGAAAAATGATATAAAAATAAGTAAAAATTTCTTAAATTAAGTTTATTTACCTTTATTTTGAGTAGGTAAATGAGATAATTTGCCAAATATCTTATACCACTCTTAGTATAAGATAATTAGATACTATGTACTTGAAATGAGACAACAAAATTGTTTTTTCTTATTTTAAATGTAAATTATCTTCTTCCATTGGCAAAATGTCTCACTTTCCTCCTCAATTCAAGAAAAAATGCAAATATTCTAAGAACAAATGACTTACGTAGATTACAATTTCTTGCATTGTTTGACCTACAATGGAAAACTGATCTAAAGACAAGTAATACATGTCTTAAATTAAGTATATTTAGCCTTAATTTGAGTAGGTAAATGAGATTGTTTGCCAATGGTATTTTTTCTCTTAAAATAAGATAATTACGGTAGATCATTTGCAATTGAAATAAGACAATGCAATTGTGTTTTCTTATTTCAAGTGTAAGTTATCTTGTTCCATTGGCAAAAGGTCTGTTTTACGCCCTCAATCCAAGAACAAATGCACTCATTTTAAGAAAAAATCACTGGTTTTTCCAGTGTAATGGCGCTGAGTAGATTAAAGTTTGTTAAACAAAAGTCCAGATTGAGATTACTGATTGCACGACTGTGAAAACATGACTAACTCTCAGGTGTTTGCTGGTCACCCAGTCAACACTGGAAAAAAATCAGACATTTTCTCTTAAAATAACTGCATTTGTTCTTGAATTGAGGACATAAAAGAGACATTTTTCTGATGGAACAAGACAATTCACATTTAATATAAGAAAAAGACAATAGATATGTCATTTTTTGTTGAAATAAGTGCATTTGTTCATGGATTGAGGAGGTAAAGAGGTATTTTCTTATTTAAAATATGAAAGCACAATTGCATTGTTTTAATTTAAGTGCATCTTATCCAATTATCTTATTTTAAGAGTAGAAATACTGATTCCATTGGTAAACTATCTAATTTTCCTTTTCAAATTAAGGGTAAATACACTTAATTGAAGACATTTTTACTTATATCTAGAGTTTTGTTTCCAGTGAACAAACAATCTGCAGGTTTTGCTCTTTAAAGACAGCTACTTAAAGTCCTTCTCACCTGCGGGACACTTTTTCTTCATCCTGCACCTTTGGGTTTCCCTTTGGGGCGGACACACCCCAGCTGCTCTCCCGCTCTGGCTGCCCTCCTGAACCCTGGTCTGCTTCCCCCATCTGAAACCACAGGTGGCACCGTCATGCGTGCAGACACTCCACTCGCTCCACTCGCCTGGTGGAGAACAGTCCTCTAGAAAAAATAAACGGAGCAAAAAAATGAAAAAGAAAAAATGGATAAAGGCCCAGCAGCCAAAGACTTAAATGTAAAAGTTCGATTTTTTCAAAGAGAATATTACATAATTCTTATTTAATGTCTCCAACTTTACACACTAATATTGCTTTAAAGAATCTTGTCGAGTGCAGATTATACACTGCAAAAACAGTCTAGCAATAAGTTAAAAAAAATCTTAAATTAAGTGAATTTGTCCTTCATTTGAGTAATAACATGCTGCTGTTTTTAGTAAAGAGGCGATTTTTATGCTTAATAAAGCATAAAAAACATTCGTTAGAAATGGATAATTCATTGTAAAACATTGTTGCACATACTTACTTACTACTTACTGTAGTTATATTTGTGAACTGTATAATCCACTAAAACTAATCTCATACTTGGTGAGGACAGAAGTCTGTACTCGTGTTCTAGTGAATTGAGAAACTTATTATCTTCTGATTTGATTTTACGTTAGCCTATGCTAATAGATTAGCTCTAGCTCATATAGTAAACAATCACTTTTTTTATTACAGTTTGTAATAGATATCTCATGTATAACAGCTTATGAAAACTTTGAGGCAGAGACGCAGGCCGTTTCTGTTAGGAATCCAGTTTGTGTGGGTTGTGTCTTTGTTTGTTTTCCCTCCACCACCAGGTGGCGCCTGGTTCTCGTTGGCCTTCTCACACGCCTGCGGATGGTTGCCTCATTACCGGAGGACTCTTAAGCTTCTGAGTGCCACTACCTCAACGCCAGAGTGTTTGCCAGTTTTGGGTACTCTAGTCAAACTGAGTTTTGTCACCTGAGTCTTAACCTTTTGCTTTTGTCTTTGCCCCTTCGGCAGGAAGTCCTCCTGCAAACTGGATTTTTTTGGACCTTCTCCCCCCTGGAAGGATGCTCTGAGCATCAAACTGAGCTGAGGATTCAAACTGGTGGTTTTGGATCAACTTTTCCCCAAGGATTGTTTGGGATTCTCTCTGAGCAGGGGATTCATCTCCACAAGAAACCGTTCAAGTACCGCAGGAAATCTAAGTGGCAGTCAGTTCCTCCGTTCCTCAAGGAAACACCTCAACCTGGTTAAACCCTATCCACTCTCCAACGATCAAGTCTATTACTGGAACAACCCACACCGACTGGATTCGATGATTGAAACCTTTTTCTGGAAAGGTGAGTCCTGTTGCCTTTATTCCCTTCTTCAAATGAAAGACACAAATTTCCCTCTGAGCCTGAACTAACCGCAGAATCTTCCCCTTCACTTTTCAGTCAGTGTTCAGAGCAGCACTGGACTCCTCTCTACCAACTCACAATAAACCTGTTAAACTTTTCCCTGGTCTCTCTGTTTGGTTTTTGCATGTGACAGTTTCTCAATTCAGTAAAACGCAAGTACGGACTCGTTGCTAAAAATCGGTCACAAAAAAACCTGCGCAGGTTGTTTGGAAGGGCTGAAGGACCCCCCCCCCTACTAAAATTAAGGTTAAATACACTTAATCTAAGACATTTTTGCTCATTTTGGAGTTTTTATTTCTTTTATGTGTCGCGTAGGAAAGAACTTCAAGGTTCAATGTGAGTCGCCTGCACTCACAGTAAAGATAAAACAAACATCCACCACCATACCTCAGCAGTGGGGAATTGGCTTAATAAAATTCTCTCATTTTTAGGCAGCAGCGGTGCAATTGTTTAAGATAAATCACCCCCAGATGAACACTAAACATGCCACTCGAAGGTGACGTCGACTATAAAGTCAAAACTTTTTTCACCTCAGCCTACAAACTGGAAACAGGATCTGGACATAAGTTAAAATGTCCTAAAATAAATGTATTTACCCTTAATTTGAGTAGGTAAATGAAATAGTTTGCCAATGGATTGAGTATTTTTACCTGTAAAATAAGATAATTAGATAACACGCACTTGAATTAAGACAATGCAATTGTGCTTTCTGATTTTAAATAAGAAAATATTTCTTTTACCTCCTCAATCAATGAACAAATGCACTTATTTTAACAAAAAATGACATATGTAGATATGATTTTTTCCAGTGCAAAGGAAAACTGCCGTTTCATTGCAATCCTCATGGAGGTTGTCAGATCTGAGAGTAGAGACTTTGCAGGAGATGCTTCAGGTGTGTACCAACAATCAGACATTAAACCGTAACAGCGACATTAATACCAGATGTGGCCTCCCTGCCAAAAAAGAACAGTAGCTGCAGATGTTGCAGGTGGAGGGAGAAACGAAAAGCATCAAATGATGACCGAGTTCAAGCATAGATCTCACTTACTTAGAAAGGAGGGATGGATTGTTTGCAGCATGACATGGAGATAAATCCTAAACCTTCTCTGAAGATTCTTAATGTGGATCATGTGTAATGTTCAGAGCCCAGAGCCTTAAAAGAGGATTTAGCTCAGATAAAAGACAACTGAGTGTTTCCAGTTGAGTTTAGGAGTCATGAAGCACAAATTAAAAGCACATTAAAACATCCCATTAGGCTGTCAGTTAATGGGATTGGGAGCCATTAGGGTCGGATGGTATCAACAGAAATCCTGCATTTGAAGTCCCGCCAACTGATCAAGATCGGCTGAATTTAAACTAAACAGAAACACTCGGTGTTGGAAGCTTTAACAGTTCTCAGAAAAAAAGACGCCCCGCTGCGATGCAGCTACGCGTATGGAGACGCACAATAAAAAGGAGATTGCAGAAGATTTTTGGCTTTGCTGACATCTCTGTTGGAGAGAAGTTACTTTATATTGGTGGCTCGGGTCAGGTCAGACGTTAAGAACGAACTATGACCTGAAAAAGGAAGAGAAGGCAGATCTCTTTTTTTTAATGGTGGAGATACTGCTGTGTTCTCCTTTTTTACTCTCCATTAGTACATCTAGAGTAAGTTTACATGACACATATGAAAACGTGGCTAGTTTTATACCTTTATACATTTTTTTTATCGTATACATCATCCAGCATGATGCACAGATACTGGAAAGGCAGGATTGGTTCATAACAAAGAGAATTTATTCTCTTAATGTTAATATAGGCGTAACTTTCTGACGGACTGGTTTGGACATGTCCCCACCAATAATTTCAATACATAGACTTTTCCTTTCAACAATATGTGGGACAAATTTCTATTTATTGATAATCAGTGCTGTAGCTGAAAGGGAAAACATCCATGAAAAGATCCACATTTTTCTGGATGGATGGGTGAATGAAACTGGGGAGACATGATATATTTCTGTTGGGATCAGAATTGGCTGTTATTTGTCCTTTTTTTTTTTAATACATTAATGTCTAACTAGCTATAAATATAAATATCAGTGTATTTTGATTATTTTTTGTACTCAACAATAGGAAAGCTTTCAATAAATATATGTTTGAGCTTATTTTTGAAAAATAGAATCCTATATTGAAAGCGTTTGTGTTGAATAACTGTAGGTCCATCAGCGCCACCCTTAGAGTGTACCCACCAACTTTCATCACAAAGTTGCACCCTTGGTTTAGGGGAAATAAAGAATTCTAAGGCTTAAGCCAAAGGTCACGGATTAGCGGACCGCGGTCCGTATCCAGACCCACCTGCTGGCTAATCCAGATCAAACCTGATTTAAAACATTTATAAATTACATGTTTGCTGACCACAGTGTCTAACTAAGCCCTCCAGAGTGTCCGGCACCAGGCTACATGTGATATAAAATTAGCCAATGAGCTGCTTTCAGTCTGGGTTGCTGCTGCTGCTACTTTTAGACACAGCAGGCAAACGTGCAGCAAGCCGGGCGATGGGAAAGAAGGAGAAGACGATGAGGAAAAGAGAGCAGAGAAAGTGTGGACTGCTGGAAGAACTGTGGTCTCTATTTCAGTGTTAAATTCTGTTTAAAGTCACTGATTATAGAGGTCTGCTGCAGACGGGCTAACGTTAGCCCTGGCTGCCGTTAATCTCAGAGGTCCACTGGTTGCTGCAGTCCTCTCAACATCTGAACTTTTTTTATTGATTACACACTAAATCTGTAAATGGGCCATATAGGGAAGCTTAAAAGTATGTTGATTGCATCAGAGCGTCGGGGCACAGTAAGAGAACATACATGGTGAGCGGGGAACTTTTAAGCAATGCAGCTTCGACGTACAGTTTGAGTTGTAGCTGCGTGCAACGATTGAAAATATCACACAGTGTATTCCCGGCTAAAAGTATTCACTCAGGCTGCACACCTCGGCTAGACATGAGGCTCATCTTACTGAAGCGGTTTTCTAATGTGAGATGTTCTAGAGCTAGACTTGCTTAGGTTCAAAGTTATAGGTAGTGAAATCTTTTGTTTGACTAGAACAGAGAGAACTATGAGGATTAAAAAGCTGCTTGAATGAAAACCACCAATCTCATTCTTGTTGAATAAGACCAATGTTTCAAAAATTAACGGGTGTTGATTGTATTTGTATGGGCTGTGTGTTTCCTGGATGGGGCCGCCTTTTACAGTTACATTTTGTATGTCTGCTTCTGTCTCCTTGAACCCCAGTCGGCCTCGGCAGATGGCCGCTCACACTGAGCCTGGTTCTGCTGGAGGTTTCTTCCTGTTCAAAGGGAGTTATTCCTCTCCACTGTCGCTACAAGCATGCTCAGAGTTTGCCTTGGAGTCAATTAGTCGATGCAATCAACAGTTTTTTTTCTCAGATGGAAAACTTTGAAAGTGCCTTGAGATGACATGTGTTGCGAATTGGCGCTATATAAATAAACTGAAATGAATTGAATTTGGGTTTTTTAATAGATCTTAATTTGCATTTTTTTTCTTTTTTGTAAAGCACTTCGTGACCCTCCCTTGTCTAAACATAGTTTTACTTATTGTACTTTAACTGAGCATCGGTTCGCACTAATTACTATATATTGATCTGAAAAATAATTTGATGTATCACTTCCACAGAGTGGATTTAAAAACACCAATTTTTAAAACAGACCAATAAAGGAAAAATGTGTCTTTATGTTTTTATTATTAAGGTTTGGGAGCTTATTATATAATATATTTCTATGTATATGTAATAGTTCAGTTACAATCACAGTATTATAAACAGCCTTTTAAAGAATGAATGAACATGTGGATTTAAGTGGTTTAATCAAATATTCAAAGTGTCATTCAATGAAAGTTTTTATTCTAACAGTAACTTATTGAATATTTTTATTAATACCCTGGTTGTAGTTCTTGAATTTTTTCAATATTTGTTTAAAACCTTTTATTGTTTCAGGAGCATTGCATTGTTTCCTATTTGAGATTTAATCATATTTATATTACCTTTCAAAATTCTGAGCTGTTGTTCATATTCTCTTAGCAAACTTAAGCAAAAAAAAAAAAAAAGAACAACATATTGTATTTAGTTATGGTTCTTCATCCCGAGGCAACAAGATCTGAATCTTGATATTTATTTAGAGGAAATTAACCTTGCTAGGAATGCCTGTTATTTAATAAAGGTATTACATTGGTTATCTGTAAATATCTCCAAATATTGCAGTTTTTGACCTACCGAGGCAGTCTGTCTGGTGAGCGAAGGTTCCCTCTGGGCAATGGATCAAACATTTGCCTCTGTACAGCTTGAAGCCAGGCTTACACTTGGTGCAGAAGTCCCGACTGAAGCATTGCTCACAGTCCAATGAGCGGCATTCTGACAGAAAGAAGAGCATCTGAGAAACATCACAAAGTTTTTACCAGCAAGTTCAGTATTAGATTAAAGCAGGGTTTGCATCTGTTCATCAAACAGCATAAATATAATAAATATACACCACTATGCTGATAACACTCTGCTTCATTTGTCCAAAAATCCTGATGAGACTAAATCATTACATAGAGTACAAAGGCAAAAACCTGGATGAAATCCGATTGAATGACTGACTATATGAGGCTAGAATGAAAAATAACTTTTATGTCCCTCAGTGGGAAACTCAGCTGTTCCAGCAGCACAGTAACTGGAAAATGGAAACATGCCAATTCACCCGCAGGAGAAAATATGTAAAATAGAAAAAAAAGAAAGAAAAAAAAGCAGTTAGAACAGCAGCATAAGAAAGAAAAAAGATCTGAGGTGTCAAAACAGGAAACTCGGGTTCAATTAAGAAAAGTACAACATGCGTATTTAGATTTGGCAGCAGAATACAGAATAGAGGAAAATAGAAACTGTGTAAATGAGAGCAGCAATAAACAGCAACTCCAACATAGATACTGTACGAAAAACCTGGACTTCTAAAAGACATCCATCTCCTCATCAGGTAGAGTCTATCTATCAGGTAGAGTCTATCTAGCAAGTAGAATTTATCAGGTAGAATCTATCTATCAGGTAGAGTTTATCTAGCAGGAATAATCTATCTGGTAGAATCTATCTATCAGGTAGAGTTAATCTAGCAGGCAGAATCCATGTAGCAGTTAGAGTTTATCTAGCAGGTAGAATCTATCTATCAGGTAGAGTTTATCTATCTGGTAGAATCTATCTATCAGGTAGAGTTTATCTAGCAGGAATAATCTATCTGGTAGAATCTATCTATCAGGTAGAATCTATGTATCAGGTAGAATCTATCTATCAGGTGGAGTTAATCTAGCAGGCAGAATCCATGTAGCAGTTAGAGTTTATCTATCAGGTAGAATCTATCTATCAGGTAGAGTCTATGTATCAGGTAGAATCTATCTATCAGGTGGAGTTAATCTAGCAGGTAGAATCTATCTATCAGGTAGAGTTTATCTATCAGGTAGAATCTATCTATCAGGTAGAGTTAATCTAGCAGGCAGAATCCATGTAACAGTTAGAGTCTATCTAGCAGGTAGAGTCTATCTATCAGGTAGAGTTTATCTAGCAGGAATAATCTATCTGGTAGAATCTATCTATCAGGTAGAGTTAATCTAGCAGGCAGAATCCCTGTAGCAGTTAGAGTTTATCTAGCAGGTAGAATCTATCTATCAGGTAGAGTTTATCTATCAGGTAGAATCTATCTAACAGGTAGAGTTTATCTATCAGGTAGAATCTATCTATCAGGTGGAGTTAATCTAGCAGGCAGAATCCATGTAGCAGTTAGAGTCTATCTATCAGGTAGAGTTTATCTAGCAGGAATAATCTATCAGGTAGAATCTATCTATCAGGTAGAGTTAATCTAGCAGGCAGAATCCATGTAGCAGTTAGAGTTTATCTAGCAGGTAGAATCTATCTATCAGGTAGAGTTTATCTATCTGGTAGAAACTATCTATCAGGTAGAGTCTATGTATCAGGTAGAATCTATCTATCAGGTAGAGTCTATGTATCAGGTAGAATCTATCTATCAGGTGGAGTTAATCTAGCAGGTAGAATCTATCTATCAGGTAGAGTTTATCTATCAGGTAGAATCTATCTATCAGGTAGAGTTAATCTAGCAGGCAGAATCCATGTAACAGTTAGAGTCTATCTAGCAGGTAGAGTCTATCTATCAGGTAGAGTTTATCTAGCAGGAATAATCTATCTGGTAGAATCTATCTATCAGGTAGAGTTAATCTAGCAGGCAGAATCCCTGTAGCAGTTAGAGTTTATCTAGCAGGTAGAATCTATCTATCAGGTAGAGTTTATCTATCAGGTAGAATCTATCTAACAGGTAGAGTTTATCTATCAGGTAGAATCTATCTATCAGGTGGAGTTAATCTAGCAGGCAGAATCCATGTAGCAGTTAGAGTCTATCTATCAGGTAGAGTTTATCTAGCAGGAATAATCTATCAGGTAGAATCTATCTATCAGGTAGAGTTAATCTAGCAGGCAGAATCCATGTAGCAGTTAGAGTTTATCTAGCAGGTAGAATCTATCTATCAGGTAGAGTTTATCGATCTGGTAGAAACTATCTATCAGGTAGAGTCTATGTATCAGGTAGAATCTATCTATCAGGTAGAGTTTATCTAGCAGGAATAATCTATCTGGTAGAATCTATCTATCAGGTAGAGTTAATCTAGCAGGCAGAATCCATGTAGCAGTTAGAGTTTATCTATCAGGTAGAATCTATCTATCAGGTGGAGTTAATCTAGCAGGCAGAATCCATGTAGCAGTTAGAGTTTATCTATCAGGTAGAATCTATCTATCAGGTAGAGTCTATGTATCAGGTAGAATCTATCTATCAGGTAGAGTTAATCTAGCAGGTAGAATCTATCTATCAGGTAGAGTTTATCTATCAGGTAGAATCTATCTATCTATCTATCTATCAGGTAGAGTTAATGTAGCAGGCAGAATCCATGTAACAGTTAGAGTCTATCTAGCAGGTAGAGTCTATCTATCAGGTAGAGTTTATCTAGCAGGAATAATCTATCTGGTAGAATCTATCAGGTAGAGTTAATCTAGCAGGCAGAATCCATGTAGCAGTTAGAGTTTATCTAGCAGGTAGAATCTATCTGGTAGAATCTATCTATCAGGTAGAGTTAATCTAGCAGGAATAATCTATCTGGTAGAATCTATCTATCAGGTAGAGTTAATCTAGCAGGCAGAATCCATGTAGCAGTTAGAGTTTATCTAGCAGGTAGAATCTATCTATCAGGTAGAGTCTATGTATCAGGTAGAATCTATCTATCAGGTAGAGTTAATCTAGAAGGCAGAATCCATGTAGCAGTTAGAGTCTATCTAGCAGGTAGAGTCTATCTATCAGGTAGAGTTTATCTAGCAGGAATAATCTATCTGGTAGAATCTATCTATCAGGTAGAGTTAATCTAGCAGGAATAATCTATCTGGTAGAATCTATCTATCAGGTAGAGTTAATCTAGCAGGCAGAATCCATGTAGCAGTTAGAGTTTATCTAGCAGGTAGAATCTATCTATCAGGTAGAGTCTATGTATCAGGTAGAATCTATCTATCAGGTAGAGTTAATCTAGAAGGCAGAATCCATGTAGCAGTTAGAGTCTATCTAGCAGGTAGAGTCTATCTATCAGGTAGAGTTTATCTAGCAGGAAAAATCTGTCTGGTAGAATCTATCTATCAGGTAGAGTTAATCTAGCAGGCAGAATCCCTGTAGCAGTTAGAGTTTATCTAGCAGGTAGAATCTATCTATCAGGTAGAGTTTATCTATCAGGTAGAATCTATCTATCAGGTGGAGTTAATCTAGCAGGCAGAATCCATGTAGCAGTTAGAGTTTATCTAGCAGGTAGAATCTATCTATCAGGTAGAGTTTATCTATCAGGTAGAATCTATCTATCAGGTAGAGTTTATCTATCAGGTAGAATCTATCTATCAGGTAGAGTTTATCTATCAGGTAGAATCTATCTATCAGGTGGAGTTAATCTAGCAGGCAGAATCCATGTAGCAGTTAGAGTCTATCTATCAGGTAGAGTTTATCTAGCAGGAATAATCTATATGGTAGAATCTATCTATCAGGTAGAGTTAATCTAGCAAACTCTATCAGGTAGAGTTTATCTATCAGGTAGAATCTATCTATCAGGTAGAGTTAATCTAGCAGGTAGAATCCATGTAGCAGTTAGAGTTTATCTAGCAGGTAGAATCTATCTATCAGGTAGAGTTTATCTATCTGGTAGAAACTATCTATCAGGTAGAGTCTATGTATCAGGTAGAATCTATCTATCAGGTAGAGTTTATCTAGCAGGAATAATCTATCTGGTAGAATCTATCTATCAGGTAGAGTTAATCTAGCAGGCAGAATCCATGTAGCAGTTAGAGTTTATCTATCAGGTAGAATCTATCTATCAGGTGGAGTTAATCTAGCAGGCAGAATCCATGTAGCAGTTAGAGTTTATCTATCAGGTAGAATCTATCTATCAGGTAGAGTCTATGTATCAGGTAGAATCTATCTATCAGGTAGAGTTAATCTAGCAGGTAGAATCTATCTATCAGGTAGAGTTTATCTATCAGGTAGAATCTATCTATCTATCTATCTATCAGGTAGAGTTAATGTAGCAGGCAGAATCCATGTAACAGTTAGAGTCTATCTAGCAGGTAGAGTCTATCTATCAGGTAGAGTTTATCTAGCAGGAATAATCTATCTGGTAGAATCTATCAGGTAGAGTTAATCTAGCAGGCAGAATCCATGTAGCAGTTAGAGTTTATCTAGCAGGTAGAATCTATCTGGTAGAATCTATCTATCAGGTAGAGTTAATCTAGCAGGAATAATCTATCTGGTAGAATCTATCTATCAGGTAGAGTTAATCTAGCAGGCAGAATCCATGTAGCAGTTAGAGTTTATCTAGCAGGTAGAATCTATCTATCAGGTAGAGTCTATGTATCAGGTAGAGTTTATCTAGCAGGAATAATCTATCTGGTAGAATCTATCTATCAGGTAGAGTTAATCTAGCAGGCAGAATCCATGTAGCAGTTAGAGTTTATCTAGCAGGTAGAATCTATCTATCAGGTAGAGTCTATCTATCAGGTAGAGTTAATCTAGAAGGCAGAATCCATGTAGCAGTTAGAGTCTATCTAGCAGGTAGAGTCTATCTATCAGGTAGAGTTTATCTAGCAGGAATAATCTATCTGGTAGAATCTATCTATCAGGTAGAGTTAATCTAGCAGGAATAATCTATCTGGTAGAATCTATCTATCAGGTAGAGTTAATCTAGCAGGCAGAATCCATGTAGCAGTTAGAGTTTATCTAGCAGGTAGAATCTATCTATCAGGTAGAGTCTATGTATCAGGTAGAATCTATCTATCAGGTAGAGTTAATCTAGAAG